TCACTCGTCATCCCTCCCATCCCTCCCTCCTCATCCTCCTCTCCTCCTCCTCCCTCCTCCTCCTCCTCCTCCTCCTCCCCCTCCTCCTCCCCCTCCCCCTCCTCCCCCCTCCTCGAAAACATCCAACCAACGCACTCTGCGACCACGAGGCGGCCACGGGCGCACACCCGGAGAAGGCACAGCCGCCGCAGCGGACCACGGCGCGGCCACGAGGCCGCCACGGAAGTGGCCACGGGGGCCGGCGAGCACCGAGGAAACCCGAGGAGGAGGGAGGAGGAGGAGGAGGAGGAGGAGGAGGAGGAGGAGGAGGAGGGAGCAGGAGGAGGAGGGAGGAGGAGGAGGAGGAGGAGGAGGAGGAGGAGGAGGTGAGAGGGATGAAGAGGGATGACGAGTGAGGAGGAGAGGAGGAGGAGGAGGAGGAGGAGGAGGAGGAGGAGGGAGGAGGAGGGAGGAGGAGGAGGAGGAGGAGGGAGGAGGGAGGAGGGAGGAGGGAGGAGGGAGGAGGAGGAGGAGGAGGAGGAGGAGGAGGAGGAGGAGGAGGAGAGGAGGAGGGATGACGAGTGAGGAGGAGGAGGAGGAGGAGGAGGCGGCAGTGGATGGGGCGGCAACGAAGCCGCCACGGAAGTGGCCACGGGGGCCGGCGACGGTTGAGGGAAACAATTGAGCAGCACTCCCCCCCTCCCCCGCGATCCAAAGTTGGCAGGTTTTCGCAAGACCGCTAAGGGGCCCAAAATCAGAAGATCCGAAACCAACATTGCCTTTGGGGGGAGGGAGGGGAGGCTCAAGCCGTATGTTCTGCACGAGTGTTGCTTAATTGTCTCCGACGCCTGGACCACCCAGAAAACCCGAGACTGCGCACGGGGCGGCCACGGGGCAGCCAAGGGCGGTCCCCGGGTGAGAGCTGGGCGACAACACTGGGCGGAGCCAGAGCGAGGAGGAGGAGGAGGAGGAGGAGGAGGAGGAGGAGGAGGATAAGGAGGAGGAGGGAGGAGGAGGGAGGAGGAGGGAGGAGGAGAAGGAGGAGGAGGAGGAGGGATGACGAGGGAGGATGGGCGAGAACCCCCCCCGAAACCCAGCCAGAGAGCTCTGGGCGACGACGAGGCGGCGGCGGGCACCCAAGCGAAAGCCCACACAAACCCCGGCCAGAGCACTCGCGGGGCGGCCACTGGGCGAACACCCGGAAAGCACAGCCAACTTGGAGGCCTGGAGATGGGCACCAGCACCAACACAGGGGGTTGCCTCCACAGGAGGAAGATGATCCTAGATTTCGGTGTCGGTGGTAACATTTCGATCACCTTGGAAGCCAGAACATTACCACAGCTATTGGAGGCCTGGAAATGGGCACCAACACCAACACAAGGGTTTGCCTCCACAGGAGGAAGATGATCCTAGATTTCGGTGTCGGTGGTAACATTTCGATCGCCTTGGGAGCCAGGATATTGCCACCATCGCCGAGATCGGGATCTCCTTCCCTCGGTGGAGGCACACCGCCAAGACTGGTGTTGGTGTCAATCTCTAGGCCTGCGAATCTAACGCGTGGACCAGGCGACAGCGAATCGGTCATGAAGCGGCCACAGGCGGCCACCAGGCAAACACCAGAGAGTCCCAGCCAGGGCGCAGGGCGGCCACGAAGCGGCCACGCACGCCCACCAGGCGAAAACCCGGCAGACCCACCCGAATCCTTAACAGCTAGAACAGAAACCCTTAGTGCAAGCACTGTTTAGATATGCCGCTTCTGACACCGCCCGCCTCTTGATCCAAAGAGGTTTCCAAGACGGCCCAAGAGGCCCCCGAGACGCTTCTAAGAACCCCCAAGATAATCCAAGAGGCCCCCAAGAGGCTTGCCACAGGGGTTCATGAGGGCCCTAAGACGGCCGAGAAAGCCCTCAAGAGGTCCCCAAAACTGCCGCTAGGCCTCCAGGAGGCACCAAATTACGGTCCTCAGGGGCGTATCAGACGTCAAAAGGCATCCACGAAGCCACACGGAGGCTCCCAAGGCGAGTTGAGTCAAGCGTTCCTCCGAGGCCCCGAGGAGGAGTCCACATCGCCGACAAGCTCCTAAGACTGCAAAAGACGCCCCCCCCCGATGCGTCCGACGTGAGCCCCGAGGGGCCAGCGGGAGCGCACAGAGCAGCGACCCTCGGGATGCTCCCGAGGTGCCACGCTGGCTGCCAGTCCCCTTGCTGTTCCTCTCGGCACCCGATGACAGCGGATCAGATCGTGGCGCACAGATCTGGATCGCGTCTCTCGCCTGCCCCGATCAGACCAGGGCGGGCCACAGACGCCGACCAGGCCAGGCACTCGGCGGCGCGCCGAGGGGGAGGCGAGGGGGGGCAAAAGCCCTCTCGGCAGGCGGCGCGGCTTCTCGGAGGCCCCGTGGCCTCTCCCGAGAAGCTGCCCGCGTGTCTTCGGAGAGGTCTCGGGGAGCTTCTCGGAAGACCGGGGGCCTGCCGAGCCTTCCGAGAGGGCCCGCCCCCTCTGCCTCCCCCTCTGGGCGCACCGCCGAGACGCGGCAACTCAGGAACTAGCCGAGTCGAGGCGAGGAAGGCCTGACCCAGGCAAGACGAGAGGCGAACGAGAGAGGCACGCGTGAACAGGTCCGCCCTTCGCCGGGAGTGGACACGCAGGCGGCAGAGAGGGGGTGTCAGTGAGGAGACGCAGGAAAGGAAGGAAGCGAAGGAGGAAAAACAGAACGGGCATGAGCACTGAGTGGGTGCTCCCAAACAGTGGTGGTGACCACACCGTCTGGTGAGTCCGTGGGGATTCGGGGTCACCGCGCGGTTTTGGGGGCGCGGGCACAGTGCTCCGAGGGCGCCGCTCGAGCGACTGGGGCCTCTCCGGAGGTCCCGACACCGTGCGGGGACGGGCCGCACGGCGAGCTCTCCTGGTCGGGGATGGACAGACCTCCCTTTAGTAAAACGTGGTTTAGTGAAAACGACCTCGGGCCCAAGCCTGGCGGGCGCAGGCCCGGAAAATGACGGCCACGGCGCCCTCTCGAGAACCGAAGACGGACAATTCACTGATCGACGTGTCACTGTTGGGGGTTCTGTCCACCCCCGACTTGGGACTTCGGAGGACGCCGCGCGGTCTGTGCCACCGCACGGACTTGGGACGCCCAGGCAGGACGGGCTGAGGGCTTCGACGGCGGAGAGGCGGCGGCCGAGGAAGAGGGCGAAGACGAGGACGGGGAGTCGAAGAGGGTTGCCACTCGAGAGAGCGCACTTATTTGTGCTGCGGACTGTGCAGGCCAAGATGTGCACAAGTTAATGAGACCAGGCCTCGCATCGAACAAGAGCGACGAGACCAGACCGCCCGACCACACCGGATAGCCTGCACGCAGCCGAACTAGACCTGATCACGCAGAGCAAGGCCGGCGCGCGTTAGACCAAGCAGGAGTGAGACACTGGTCGCTGGACGGTCTGTTGGGGAGACGCGAAGCATTTCGAATTTGCCTTGCCACCTACCTGGCCAATGACAGCGTAAGCTCTGTCGCTTGCTGGCCTGTGCCAGGTCCAGCCGTGCGATGAATAATCTCCAACACTGATCCAGCATCGTAGCTGGCATCATCTGGCCCGATACCAACCTCCAAATGACATCTTGTGCGCGCCTTCTGCCATTGACCGCCTTCCCCACACGCGCTGATAGTTTAACACATGTGGACGAGGATGACGAGAAGGGGGACGGGGAAACGGAGGGAGTAGGCAAGGCGGAGGACGAGGGTGAGGGTGAGAACGAGGAGGCAGGCGAGGACGACACGGGCCAGGAGAAAGGGAATGACAAAGCTGAGGAAACGTGCACCACACGGGTGGCACACTCCCTCCTCGCAGCCAAAGCGGCAGAGATGTTTTCGGCCGCCGAGCGGCCGGGATGGCAGCGGTCGTCTGGTGGATGCCCCCCGCGCGAAGCGGTGTGCATCAGCGTCTCCTGACCCGCTGGGGGAAAAAGTTATCCTCCCCCAGACAAGCATCCTTGTTTCAAATCTGTGGCACTTGGCGCACCACCGATCGCAGCAATTTTTTGGGGGGCGACGCGTTTCGGACGCCGTTTCCGTCTCGGGCCAGAAACGGCTGCAATCATCCCGCGCACGTGCGGTTCAGCGGACGGGCAAGGCAAGGGCTTCTCGTCGCGCAGTCGCTCGCGCTCCAGCCTGGGAGCCTCCTCGTCCTCGTCACCATCACTATCACCCGGCTCCTCCTCCTCCTCCCTCCTCCTCCTCCTCTTCATAATTATGATTATAACTATTATCGTCAGCATAAACATCAGCATCAGGAGCATCATCATCATCATCATCATCATCATCATCATCATCATCACCATCACCCTCACCCTCACCATCACCATCGCCACTACCAACACTAGCACGATCACCATCATCATCATCACCATCATCATCATCGTCGTCATCATCGTCGTCATCATCAGCAGCATCAGCATCAACATCAGCATCCTCATCGGCATCAGCACCATCATCATTATCATCATCATCATCATCATCATCATCATCATCATCATCATCATCATCATCATCGTCATCATCATCATCATCATCGTCACCTCCTCATCATGATCATGATGATGATCATCGTCATGATCATCAGCATCATCTTCATCATCAGCATCATCATCAGCATCAGCATTATTCCCACCACAATCAGCATCATCATAATCATCAGCATCATCACCACCAACATCATCATCACCATCACCACCACCACTACCATCACCATCGCCATTACCATGACCATCCTCCTCTTCCTCATCATCATTGCCACCATCGCCACCATCATAAGCATCAGCATCAACATCAGCATCATCATCCTCAGCATCAGGATCATCATCACTATCACCACCACCACCAGCAGCATCATCATCATCAGCATCAGCAGCATCAGCAGCAGCAGCAACCATCATCATCATCATCATCATCATCATCATCATCATCATCATCATCATCATCATCATCATCATCATCATCCCCATCCTCCTCGACCGCACTCGGCCTCCAAGACGTCGAACTCGTGCCGCGCGTGGAGGATCCGCTGGGCCTCGTCGAGCCCCTGGCGCGACGCCGCTCCGGGCAGGGGTCCGTTCCCGCCCCTGTGTCATCCCCGCTCTTCTCTTTCGCTCTCTCTCATCTTACCTCCACCTCCTCCCCTGCCCCTCCTCTTCCTCCTCCTGCTTCTTCTCCAACCCCCTCTCAATCCTGCTCCTCCTCCTACGACTCTGCCTCTCTCGCCATGACCATCGCAATCATTTGAGCAGCATCATCATCACCGCTCTCATCATCATCATCATCATCATCATCATCATCATCATCATCATCATCATCATCATCATCATCATCATCATCATCATCATCATCATCATCAGCAGCAGCAGCAGCAGCAGCAGCAGCAGCAGCAGCCGCAGCAGCAGCAGCAGCAGCAGCAGCAGCAGCAGCAGCAGCAGGAGCAGCAGCGTGCTCGTCATCATCGGGCCTCTGCTCCAGCGGCAGCCTTGCCCCTCGCCCTGGCCACCCCTCGCCCACGGCCCCAGCTCGAGACCACCCCTCCGCGGGCGGCCTCCGTGCCCCCGGCCCGCGCGCGGGCACACCACCGTGCTCGGCGGCTGCCGCCGCCGCCGGGCCACCCCCCGCCTCGGCCCCAACCGCAGGGCCCCCGCGCACGCGGCGGCCGAGGCTGCGCGGCCGTCGCGGGCGCGCTCGCCGTCGCGCGGCTGGCTCCGCCGCGCACGCGCAGCGCGGGCCGGGGCGAGGCACTCCTCCTCCTCCTCCTCCTCCTCCTCCTCCTCCTCCGCCTCCTCCTCCTCCTCCTCTCCTCCCTCCTCTCCTCCTCCCTCCTCCTCCTCCTCCTCCTCCTCCTCCTCCTCCTCCTCCTCCTCCTTCCTCCTCCTCCCTCCTCCTCCTCCTCCTCCTCCTCCCTCCTCCTCATCCTCCCTCCTCCTCTCCTCCTCCTCCTCGTCCTCCTCCTCCTCCCGCCTCTCCTCCTCCTCCTTCCTCCTCCTCCTCCTCCTCCTCCTCCTCCTTCCTCTCCCTCCTCCCTCCTCCTCCTCCTCCTCTCCTCCTCCCCCCCCCCCGCCTCGCGCCCTCCTGCGCTCCCTGCGGGTGCCCGCGGCGCGTGCGCGGCTTCGCCGCCGCGCGGGGGCGCGCCGCCCGCTCGGGAGGCGCCGCGCCTCGCGCCCGCCGCCCGTGCCCGGCGGCCCGCCGTCGCCGGCAGGCTCCCGCTGGTGCGGGCCATGCGGCAGCACCAGGGGACCAGACAATGATATTCTTCACTGCGTGGAGCTCCCCATGTGCGCATCTGTTCGCATGGACCTGTCCGCCGTGGATGTCTGGGCGCAAGAGCTTTCGAATATGAACGGGCTTCAGTGGTGACGGGCTTCGGTTGTGGCGGGGGCCAGACAATGACATAAGCATAAGAACTCGGAGGTCCGCGCGGATTTCTCGGATCGGCGCTGGGGCCCCCAGGCGGCGCCGCCGGCGCCCCCTCCCTGGCGCGCTCCGCGCGCCAGGGAGGGGGGTCCAGCGCGAAGCCAAGAAACCCGCGCGGACCTCCGAGTTTTCGTGTTTGTGTCAACTTTTCGTTCCCCTACAACACGCGGCGAGGCTGGGACCTGCGGCGCGCCCGTGGTCTGAAGGCGGGCGTGTCCCCCTACAGGGGGACTGGACGAAAAACTAAAAAGACTCCAAAAAATACCCCAAAGATGCCCCAAAAATACTCCAAACATAGTCCCGTGACTACTTTGTCGACTACTCTTGAACTTGTCCTCCTGTAGAGGGACAGGCCCGACCTACCCGTGGTCCCCAGGCCCAGACCCCCGACGTCATGATTTTTTCATGACGTCGACCCCCCGAGGTCTCGACCCATTCCCCGGGACCGGTTTTTCGTCCTGAGTCGTTTTTTGACGGTCCCGAGGGCCGGTGAGGGCCCCCAGAGGCCGAAAATTAGAGAGAAACAAAAAAACGTCGTGATTTTTTCAGAACTCGAGGGGGTCTGGGGGGGGGGCAGAGCTGGGCGGCTCGAGGCCACGTGTCGGGGCCCAGTGGCGCGCCGCGGCCGAGGAGAGGCAGGGGGCCCCGAGCGTCGGCCCCCCCCGCAGGCGCCGGCAGCGAGCGCCCCGCGCCCCAGCTCGAGGAGGGGGGGCTCGAGAGGCCACGCGCGAGCTCGCGCCCGCCTGGCTGGAGGGGCCCCAGGACGCACAAATACATACACACAAATACAAGGATTCCCCATATTTCCACCTATTTTCTGGGTTTTTGTCTTCCCGCCCAATTCCCATATTTTTCCATACCTATACGACCACCCTTCGGGTGATAAGGAGGTTCGGGGGGGGGAGGAACCAACGTCTCACTCGATCGGTCTCACTATCGATCTCACTATCGATCTCAGTATCGGTCTCGCTCGATCGATCTCCCTCGATCGATCTCACAATCGATCTCACTCGATCTATCTCACAATTGATCTGACTATCGATCTCACAATCGATCTCACAATCGATCTCACAATCGATATCACATTCGGTCTCACGATCGATCTCACTATCGATATCACAACCGCTCCCACAATCAACGTCATCATCATCATCACAACAACATCAACATCAACATCATCATCACCAACATCATCATAATCGGGACACAGTCCTCATCATCAACACCAACATCATCATCATCACGGTCATCAACATCATCGGGACACCACCATCATCATCATCATCATCATCATCACCATCACAATCATCATCATCAACATCAGCATCATCATCATCACCATCGGGACACAGTCATCGTCATCATCATCAGCAGCAGCATCATCATCGGGACACCATCATGATCACCATCGTTATCATCATCATGATCATCGGGGCACCATCATCATCATCATCATCTCATCCTCATCATCGACATCATCATCATCAGCATCATCAACATCATCATCAGCATCATCATCATCGTCATCATCGGGGCACCATCATCATCATTACCAACATCAGCATCAACATCATCATCATCATCATCATCATCATCACCATCGGGACGCCATCATCATCAACATCATCATCACCATCATAATAATCATCATCGGGACGCCATAATCATCATCAACCTCATCATCATCAACATCATCATCATTGGGACACAATCATATTCAGCATCATCAACATCAACATCATCATACTCATCATCATCGGGACACCATCATCGTCATCATCATGGTCATCAACATAATCATCATGATCATCATCATCCTCATCATCGGGACACCATCAGCATCATCATCATCGTCATCATCATCATCGACATCATCATCATCATCATCATCATCATCATCATCATCATCATCATCATCATCATCGGGACATCATCATCATCATGTCATCATCATCGTCCTCTTCATCACCATCATCATCAGCATCACCATCATCATCATCATCGTCATCATCATCAGCAGCATCATCATCAGCATCACGATCATCATCATCATCATCATCATCATCATCATCATCATCATCATCATCATCATCATCATCATCATCATCATCATCATCATCATCATCATCATCATCATCATCGCGGGACACCGCGGGACACCGGCGGGACACCGCGGGGCACCGCGGGACACCGCGGGACACCGACGGGACACCGGCGGGACACCGCGGGCCACCGGCCGCCCGGAAGGGAGTCATTTGGTCCGGCCGCGCCTCAGCCACACGGGACTTTCGCGGGACACCGGCGGGACACCGCGGGCCACCGGCCGCCCGGAAGGGAGTCATTTGGTCCGGCCGCGCCTCAGCCACAGGAGACTTTTTCTCGCCCGCCCACGCAGCTTCGCCTCGCCCGCACGCACGGCACGCACGAACACAAAACCGAAATCGATTTCCCGGTAGGGGGGCTCTCCGTTCCACTTCGATCTCACCCCCTCACCTCCGATTTTCCTGGGACGATTAATAGTGTCTGTATTTTTTCCCCTCCTGACTGACGCGGGCCAGGGCGCCGCGCGGGGCCGCGGCGGAGGAGGCCGAGCAGCTCCGAGCGGGCGCGGCTCGAGAGCAGGTGCTCGACGAGAGCTGCTCCGCCCGCCGCCCCGCAGCCGTCCGGCCGCGGGAGGGCGCCGAGCGGATCCGGAAGCGTGAGGAGGCGATCGCAGCCAGCGCGGACGCCACCACAGGCCGGAAGCTCGAGCTGGAAGAGTCTGCGCCCCTCAGCGAGGGCGCTCTCGCCGAGAGCAGCGCCAGAAGCTCGCGATCGCCCGCGAAGAGGTCCCCGTCGCTCGGGGCGCCTCCGCCGACAGCGCCGGGACCACCACCGTGAAGACGGCGCGCGCCGCCCGACGCCGAGCAGCTGCGGGGGCAGGGGCCTCAACGCCGCCGTCGCCGCGCTCCTCGCCGCCAGGCGGGCAGGAGGTCGCCGGCAGCGAGGCCGCCGAGACCTCGGTCGCACCCCAAGGCGTGTCGGTGGGGCGGGCCGGGCGTTTCGGCCGATGCTTCTTCACCGCTCATGATCCCGAAGCTTGCACCTGTGCAGCAGAGTTGAGCAGTGATACGGATGGAGGGGTGCTCGTTCCCCCAGAGAGCGCTCGCCTCAGCACCGCGCGCATTCGTGTCTGCGCCGGTCACAGGGATGGAGGGGCATCTGCAAAATGGGGCCATCGTTTCAGCACCGCGCACATTCGTGCTCATAGCTTGCAACAGTGGGCGGTTCCTTTTCAACATGCGGTTTTTGTCTTGGCACCGCACACATTCGTCTCAAACGCTTGCAGCAATTACACGAATGGAGGCCAGCTCGTTTTCAAAATGAAGCTATCACCGCAGCACCGTGCACACGCTCCCTAGCCAGTGCAACAACTAAATGGAGGAAGGGTAGCTCCTTGTCAAACAAAAATCATTGCTTAGCACCGCGCACGTTCGTCTCAACACACAGCGACAACGAGAACCATGTTGGGGTGGGTGTTTTCGAAAATCCATGTGCAATAACTATCGCCTTCGCGCCGCGCACACTCGTCTCCAAAACTTACAACCACGACAGGGATGGGGGGCGGCTCCTTGTCAGAATTGGATTCTCGCCTCAGCGCCGCGCGAAGTCGTCGTCAAATACTGCAGGAATCGAAGGGGCGGAGGACGCTTCCTTTTCAGAATGGGGCTCCAGCTGGAGAGTTCCCTCTGTATTGTGATGGCCTTACGGCCGGTGCCCCCGACCCTGAAGGTTTTGGCCGTCGATGGCGACGGGATGCGTGACCACAGGAAGGAGCTAAAGGATAACGTGACAGGGTAGGCGGAGGAAGTGTGTGAGGAGGAGGAGGAGGAGGAGGAGGAGGAGGAGGAGGAGGAGGAGGAGGAGGAGGAGGCGGAGGGGAGAGGGGGCGGGGGGAGGAGGAGGAGGAGGAGGAGGAGGAGGAGGAGGAGGAGGAGGAGGAGGAGGAGGAGGAGGAGAGGAGGAGGAGGAGCTGGCTGGAGAGCTCCCTGTGTATTTTGAACCGCGTAGACGTAGACAGCAGCTGCGGGTGTGGAGGCGGCCTTGTCAAAACGGGGCTCTCGCCAGAGACTTCTAACCATCTGACCTCCTCTCCTCCTCTCCCCTCTCCGCCTCCCTGTCCTCCCTCCTCCTCCTTCCCTCCTCCTCCTCCTCCTCCTCCTCACTCCTCCTCCTCTCCCCTTCCTCCTCCTCCCCCTCCCCCTTCCCCCTCCTCCTCCTCCTCCTCCTCCTCCTCCTCCTCCTCCTCCTCCTCCTCCTCCTCCTCCTCCTCGCCAAAGACTTCTAACCATCTGACGGCCAGGAGACTGAACGCATGCAGCAGCAGTGCGGGTGGAGGGTAGCCCCTCGTCAGAACGGGGTCCTCGCCTTGGCGCCGCGTGCAGTCCTCGTCAAAGCTTGCAAAAGCTACGAGGATGGACGACGGCTCGATGTGAAGCCTCGGCGCTGCGCGCAGTGATCGGCAAAGCTTGCAACAGCCACAAGGGTTGACGACGGTGGTTCAAAAAATATCCTGACAAAAGACCCAACCATATGTGATTGTGAGGAAAGCGTGGTGGATTCCGCTTCCGGTGGGCCGCGCAACGCGTGATGGGGCGTGCCGTCATGGGCGGGGGGGACGCATGCGCGCGGTCCCACTGGGGCCTTCGGTGGAGCTTCCTGTGGGGCCACGACGTGCTGTCGTGGGTTGTGGAGACGCATGCGGGCGGTGCCACTGGGGCCTTCGGTGGAGCCCCCATATCGGGCCACGAAACGCTGTACTGGGTGGGGCGGACGCATGCGGGCGGTCCCACTGGGACCTTCGCTGGAGCTTCCTATGGAGCCACGAAGCACTGTACTGGATGGGGGGGACGTAGCGGTGCCACTGGGGCATTCGGTAGAGCTCCCTATGGGGCCGCGAAAGGCTGTACTGGGTGGGGGGGACGCATGCGGGCGGTCCCACTGGGACCTTCGCTGGAGCTCCCTACAGGGTCACGAAACGCTGTACTGGGTGTGGCGGACGCATGCGGGCAGTCCACCTGAGGGACCGTCTCTTCAAAACGAAGACACAACACCACAAGACGGTTGGGAAAAATTGTATTCTCGCCTTGGAAATTCCAGAGTTTTCAGAGCCAGGAGCTTGAACAAGTTTACACGTCGGTCTGAAGAAGTAGATAGAACCATGAAGTATGAAGGCGTTGAAAATAGATTGGGTGTCCGCCCGTTCTTTCAAGATGACGGAAAAAGTGAAGCCACTCGACCAGTGAAGTAGGAAGGCGCTTCAAGTAGATTGTGATCTGGGACTCAAGAACTATCTACTTTCAACGACCGACGGGTAACAGCTGCACGGACAGAGGACGGTTCAATCTTCAGAACGCGGCCACCGCCTGAGACTCCCACGACTGTCATGGTAACCAGTGCATGCTCGAGCAGCAGCTGCACAAACAGAGCGCTCCTTTCTCAAAACGAGGCTCTGCTGGACACCTCATTGTGGTACATGAGCATAGATCTGCGCATTCTATTTTGCTCACTCGAAGTGTGCCAGGCGATTCCTTTTCCAAACGGAGTCTTCGCATTGATGGCACGCCCACCGAGTGCCAGCCTTGCAAGGCGGTACGCCTTGCAGCGAAAAGGAAAGCGCCAGGACGAACGAGGAGGGGACTTGGGGACGGGAGGGTGCCTCGCAGGCACAGGTTATGCATGTTGGGCTTCTTCTTGACATCCTCCTCCTCCTCCTCCTCCTCCTCCTCCTCCTCCTCCTCTTCGTCCTCCTCCTCCTCCTCCTCCTCCTTCTACTCCTCCTCCTCCTCCTCCTCCTCCTTCTCCTCCTCCTCCTCCTCCTCCTCTCCGCCTCCTCCTCTTCGTCCTCCTCCTCCTCCTCCTCCTCCTACTCCTCCTCCTCTTCGTCCTCCTCCTCCTCTTCGTCCTTGCGCCGCTCCTCGGCGCCCGACCAGTGCAGCAGGCCCTCGTGGACGATGCCGTGGGCCGCCTGCACAGGGCCGCCGGGGTCCGCACGAGACTCGCCCCCCGCCTCACGACGAAGGCAAAGAACCGAGACAACTGAAGGGGCCCTGGGACCTCCTCCTCCTCCCCCCTCCTCCTCTCCTCCTCCTCCTCCTCCTCCTCCTCCTCCTCCTCCTCCTCCTCCTGCTCCTCCTCCTCCTCCTCCTCCTCCTCCTCCTCCTCCTCCTCCCTGGGACACACAAATAACTACACACAAATAAACACATGTTCCCATATTTTCCTGGGAATCGACGATTCATGGTGTCTGTGTGTCTCTTTCCCTCCTGAACAACACTGGGCCGATATATATATATATATATATAAAAATAAATGCACATATCGGAAATATCTGAGAATCGGCGAGTCAGGGGCCCAGGAGTCCAGGGCCCTGAAATCCAGGGCCCAGGACTCGAAGGCCCCGGGGTCGAAGGCCCTGGAGTCAAGGGCCCAGGATTCGAAAGAGCCCGGAGCCCGGTACCCTGGAGTCCAGGGCCCAGGAGTCCAGGGCCCAGGAGTCCAGGGCCTCGGAGTCCAGGGCCTCGGAGCCTAGGGTCCAGGAGTCTAGGGCCCTGGAGTCTAGGGCCCTGGAGTCTGGGGCCCAGGAGTCTAGGGCCCTGGAGTCTAGGTGGTGCCCAGGAGTCTGGGGCCAGGCCCCAGGAGCTTCGGGTCCTGGAGTCTAGGACCCATCCGTCTCGGGCCTTGGAGTCGAGGGCCTTAGCATGGAGTGCCCAGGAGTCTGAGGCCCTGAAGTCTGCGTCCCTGGAGTCTGGGGCCCAGGAGACTAGGGCCCTGGAGTCTAGGGCCCCGAGGTCTCAGGCTCTGGAATCTGGAGCCCTGGAGTCCGGGGCCCAGGAGACGAAGGCCCAGGAGTCTAGAGTCTAGACCTATACGACCACCCTTCGGGTGATAAGGAGGTTGTGGGGGGGGGAGAGAGAGGGGGGGGAACCTGCATCTGACCCAATCGATCTCGCGATCGATCTCACTCAACGGGAGACCACGGGACACCACGGGACACTTGTCGATCTCACTATCGATCTCACTATCGATCTCACTCAACGGGACACCACGGGACACCACGGGCCACCACGGGACACCACGGGACACCGCGGAACACCTCTCAATCTCACTATCGGTCTCACTATCGATCTCACTATCGATCTGACTCAACGGGACACCTTCGGACACCACGGGACACCTCAGAACACCACATCGATCTCACTATCGATCCCTCTATCGATCTCACTCAACGGGACACCACGGGACACCTGTCGATCTCATTATCGATCTCACTTTTTAGGACACCGCGGGACACCACGGGACACCTCGGGGCACCACATCGATCTCAGTATCGATCTCAGTATCGATCTCACTATCGATCTCACTCAATGGGACACCACGGGACACCACGGGACACCTGTCGATCTCATTATCGATCTCACTATCGATCTCACTTTCTGGGACACCACGGGACACCTCGGGGCACCACATCGATCTATATCGACATGCATTAGCGCCAGGACGCCCGGGACACCCGGGACACCGCCCGGCCCAACTGGGACACCTCCCGGCCACCGGCGGACGGGAACCGGACTTTCGCTCCTACTGACACCCGGGACACCCGGGACACCGCCCGGCCCAACTGGGACACCTCCCAGCCACCAGCGGACGGGAACGGACGTTCGCTCCTACTTCGGCCTAGCTACAGAACAAAATACCGTGTAGGCAGAAGCCCTGAAGAAACATATGCTATGTTTGCTGCTGCTGTATGTCAATCGAATCAATTTTTTGACGAAGGATCACGCGCAGCTTCGCCTCGCCCGCACGCACGACACGAACACGAAACCGAAACCGATTTCCTGGTGGGGGGTCTCCGTTTCACTGCGATCTCACCCCCCAACCTCCGATACGACCACCCTTCGGGTGATAAGGAGGTCGTGGGGGGGGAGAGGGGGGGAACCTGCATCTGACTCAATCGATCTCGCGATCGATCTCACTCAACGGGAGACCACGGGACACCATGGGACACGTGTCGATCTCACTATCAATCTCACTATCGATCTCACTCAACGGGACACCACGGGACACCACGGGCCACCACGGGCCACCACGGGACACCGCGGAACACCTCTCAATCTCACTATCGGTCTCGCTATCGATCTCACTATCGATCTGACTCAACGGGACACCATAGGACACCACGGGACACCTCAGAACACCATAGCGATCTCACTATCGATCTGACTCAACGGGACACCACGGGACACCACGGGACACCTGTCGATCTCATTATCGATCTAACTATCGATCTCACTTTTTAGGACACCGCGGGACACCACTCAGGGCACCACATCGATCTCAATATCGATCTCACTATCGATCTCACTATCGATCCCACTTAACGGAACACCACGGGACACCTGTCGATCTCACTATCGATCTCACTATCGATCTCACTTTTTGGGACACCACGGGACACCTCGGGGCACCACATCGATCTCAATATCGACATGCGTTAGCGACAGACGCCCGGGACACCCGGGACACCCGGGACACCGCCCGGCCCAACTGGGACACCTCCAGTCCACCGGCGGACGGGAAACGGACTTTCGCTCCAACTGACACCCGGGACACCCAGGATACAGCCCGGCCCAACTGGGACACCTCCCAGCCACCGGCGGACGGGAACGGACTTTCGCTCGTACTTCGACCTAGCTACAGGAGGATCACGCGCAGCTTCGCCTCGCCCGCACGCACGACACGAACACGAAATCGAAACCGACTTCCTGGTGGGGGGTCTCCGTTTCACTGCGATCTCACCCCCCAACCTCCGATACGACCACCCTTCGGGTGATAAGGAGGTTGTGGGGGGGGGGGAGAGGGGGGGAACCTGCATCTGACTCAATCAATCTCACGATCGATCTCACTCAACGGGAGACCACGGGACACCACGGGACACTTTTCGATCTCACTATCGATCTCACTATCGATCACACTCAACGGGAGACCACGGGACACCACGGGCCACCATGGGACAACACGGAACACCTCTCGGTCTCACTATCGGTCTCACCATCGATCTCACTATCGATCTGACTCAACGGGACACCATAGGACACCACGGGACACCTTAGAACACCACAGCGGTCTCACTATCGATCTCACTATCGATCTCACTCAACGGGACACCACGGGACACCACGGGACACCTGTCGATCTCACTATCGATCTCACTTTTTGGAGACCGCGGGACACCACGGGACATCTCGGGGCACCACATCGATCTCAGTATCGATCTCACTATCGATCACACTATCGATCTCACTCAACGGGACACCACGGAACACCACGGGACACCTGTCGATCTCACTATCGATCTCACTTTTTGGGACACCACGGGACACCTCGGGGCACCACATCGATCTCAATATCGACATGCGTTAGCGACAGGACGCCCGGGACACCCGGGACACCCAGGACACCGCCTGGCCCAACTGGGACACCTCCCGGCCACCGGCGGACGGGAAACGGACTTTCGCCTCTACTGACACCCGGGACACCCGGGACACCGCCCGGCCCAACTTGGAAGCCTCCCAGCCACCGGCGGACGGGAACGGATTTTCGCTCCTGCTTCGGCCTAGCTACAGGAGGATCACGCGCAGCTTCGCCTCGCCCGCACGCACGACACGAACACGAAACCGAAACCGACTCTCCGGTGGGGGTCTCCGTTTCACTGCGATCTCACCCCCCAACCTCCGACGGCCCAGGCGTCCAGGGCGCAGGAGTCAAGGGCCCAGGAGTCTAGAGCCCTGGAGTCAAGGGCCCTGGCGTCTAGGGCCCAGAAGTCTAAGGCCTTGGAGTCTGGAGCCTTTGAGTCTTAGGGCCCAGGAGTCTAGGGCCCAGGAGTCTACGGCCCCGAAAACTGGGGCCGAGGAAGGACCTGGCGTCGATTGCCCAGGAGTCTTGGGCCCTGGGGCCTAGGGCCCAGGAGTCTAGATCCCTGGAATCCAGGGCCCAGGAGTCTAGGGCCATGGAGTCTAGGTCTAGGGCACAGGAGTCTGGGGCCCGTGATATCTAGTGCCTTGGCAGCTGGGGTCCAGGAGTCTAGACCTTTTGAGCCTAGGGCTCTAGAACCTAGGGCCTTGGACTCTAGGGCCTAGGAATATAGGGCCCTGGAGTCTAGGGCCCAGGAGTTCGGGGCCTAGTGCCCAGGTGTCTGGGGCCCAGGAGTCTAGGGCCCAAGAGTCTAGGGCCCAGGAGTCGTCTAGGGCCCCGGATTCCAGGGCCCAGGAGTCTAGGGCCTTGGAGTCTAGGGCCGAGGAATCTAGGGTCTTGGAGTCTAGTGCCCAGAGGTCTAGCGCCCTCGGGTTCGGGCCAAAGAATCGACGGCCAAGGAGTCTAGGGCCTGGGACTCTGGGGTCGTGGATTTTAAGGCTCAGGAGTCCAGGGCCCTGGAGTCTATGGCCGAGGAGTCTATGGCCCTGGAGTCTGTCTAGGGCCCAGGAGTCTAGGGCCCTGGGGTCTAGGGCCCAGAGGTCTCGGGCCAGGGGATTGTAGAGCCCTGGAGTCTAGGGCTCAGGCCTCCAGGCCCAGGAGTCTAGGGCCCAGGGGGCTAGGGCCCAGGTGTCTGGGGCCCAGGCGACCAGGGTCCCTGGATGTCTAGGGTCCAAGAATCTAGGGCCCTGGAGTCGAGGGCCCATGCGGGGGAGGAAACAACGAAACGAAAAACGAAACGAACGCGCGGAAACTATGGCCACGGCGAGGGGCGACAGAAACGAAAGAACGAAACGAAGAACGAAACGTACACCCGATCGACAGCTGAGGCTAAATATGGCAGAGACTGGGGCCCAGGCTGAAGATCAGGCCAGGAGGGCAACCACAATAACGGGGGGAAAAAAGAAACGAAAAACGAAGCGAACGCCCGGAAACTGAGCCAGGGCGAGGGGCGACAGAAACGAAACGAACAACGAAACGAAACGAACGACCATAAGTAT